AAACAATAGGGTTCGTCCACTCATGACCCCATTGCTTCGCACCAAATTTGGAAACAATCTGTTACTTACCAAATTCACCATCTATCGCGTTAACAAGCCAATGGTTGACGGACGGATGGACGGACGTATCGACGGTCATAGTTGACGACATAATACGCCCACATTACAATATGTGTTTGTATTGGTTGGTGGTATCATGTGGTTTTAACAAGTGCATACAAGTCGAACGCAGTCTTTAATAACTTCAGAGGGATGTTTACCAGTTCAATAATATCTTGGGAGAGAATTATGGACGTGGGGTTTGCCGATTTGGCATATGGAACCGTAGGATATATTAAAGCAGCTAAGTCTCTAACCCAATATCATCCAAAGTCTTCGACATTGAAAACACTAACTATTTGTCAATTTAAATCAACATCGATATTGTGGTCTTACCGGGAAAAGATGGGCTTCTGATGTCCAATATTTAAGACAAAATAAACATTTTACCATTGGTACACGAATCGTGTACCATAATGCGTTTTAGCGCTTTCTGTAACAAGGGACTCAAAGAACGAGGCTAGACATATTCCGCAAGTCATGTCAAGGGGTGACGCCATTTTCTTATCTAGAGATCATGCGCAATAAATACTATTAGTGTAGACTGGAATAGAGATTGCCATTCGATCAGTTTATATACATCATATTATTATATGCGTTGCGACCCATTTGTGTCAATTTCTAGGTCCCAAATATTACCGATTTAGCTTTTTTAAGCTAATATTTATATTCTTCCCGTCCCCCTTTGTTTGTCATGAGTTGCCCCCCCCCCCTCGCAATTTAAAGTTGAATACTGTTGTACTCGATTACACCGAAAATGTGGTGCCGAAAAAGTAGCACATTAAAACCCCCTTTCATTTCATTTCACACTGAAAATGCATGGTAAATAAAACATTCCTAGGATTTTTATTCACGAGAGCATTAGCTTGCACCAAAAATCGCCTTATTGATCGAGTCATTACGAGCTCCCTACTTAATTAGTCACATTGATTTTTGGATACATATCTAAATCATATTTACATATTTGGATTCCATTTTATCTTTACCGCCTTCATGTTGACATTAGATACAGTCTATGTATTTTTACCATTTATTTCCATGGCATCGTTTTCTGTCTGCCATTAACAGAAGACAAATACATTCTTCCCTGGCAATGTTTTTATTGTTATGAGAGTCTAGTGCAGGTTAATATTAAACGAGTTTTAATAATGTTTTTGTCGCCATCCAGTTTCCATGATCGTAATTTATGTTGTGGTTGTCCAACTGTGTGATACTGTCCATCCTAGTGAGAACTAAGTACGACAAAGCCCGAAGAGCGGTTTGTCATATAACACAATTATTGGATTGCTAGTATCGATCGTTTTTGTTGCCTTACATTACCATACACACATCACAGTGTGACACAATACCACCAGCTAACACCATGGCTAGAAGTAAGATGGTTTATTGTGAGCATACATCTATCATACCGCACGTCGAGCTGCAGATAGTTACTTTGCTCTATTCTCACTTATAATTGATCACATATCGCGGTTTCTGACGCTTCTAGACTAACCGCCGCAAAACGCTTTATTTCATTTTTTCTGCATTGTCTTTGGTTTTTCGTTATATTTCCCCCGTTCATCATCCAATAGTTTCTTAATATAAATCGACAAGGAATAAAAATACTTAATTATTTTCTAGTTGTCTTTCAACCTCTGTCAAGGGCATCTGTGTATATAGTCAGAATATTGAGCAGTAACCGAATTTGAAGCCGGTTCCAGGATAAATGCAATCTTGGTTGAATTGAGAAATCGATGGTTTCTTTTAACTGTGGTGTTTAAAGATATATCGTGCTGTCAATGGAAACAGACTGTTTATTTAGTTATAAAATCTGAATAAATAGGTATCCGTTACTCTTTCACTTTATAATCAAAGCGAGAAACGTATTTCTCTTAAAGGAGCTTTTCGCTAAAAGAGAAAATATCGAATTTCTTTTTATAGACGAATGTGAAGAGGGTTGACCTAGGACATTTCGCGCCAGGCGTATAGCATTTCTTTTCTTCATTTCATTTCTAAGAATTCGGACATTGCATGTCTTGCGGTCAAGTGTCCATGTTATCTCTGTGTGGCTATATACAGCATCGTGCATTTAAAATGTGTACACAAAGCTATTAAAATATCTAGACACGGTTTCGTACTCCTAACAGCTTGTTTACTCCAGGGGACAAATGAAATTAAATGAAATGGAGTTGAACGTCCTAATTTGTACGAATCGGGTCAAGGAAGATAAGTTTACGTCATGTGTGCAGGAACGGGCCTGATAAGGACAGTGTCTAGTCATTCGGGTGGGACGAAAAACTGAGGTACCGTGTACACATTTGAGTACACAAAATAAACCCCCCCTTGACATTTGGAATTCCAAATAAGGGCAGGTAGTAGCGCCGCTTCCCGGACAAGATTTCTCTCATTGCGCACTGTATGGCGTATATGTCGGTGTTCATTAGCCCAGTCGCTGCAGAAAAGTAGGACGTTAAACTCCATTTCATTTCATTAATCAGATTCCAACTGTATAGGCCTGTGTACTGGACCTCTGTGTATCCTTCCACCCGAACAACGAGATGCTGTTCCTTGTGAAGGCTCCCTTCCTACACCACTGAGAAGGAGAAACCAGACTGGAAAGTCCCCTGGAATTTTCTCAGCCAAAATCGAACCTTAGATCTCCTGATTAGGCCTGTGTACTGGACCTTGGTTTATTCTTTAACCCAAACGACGAGATGCTGTTCCTTGTCAGAACTTCCTTCCTGCACCACTAAGAAAGAAAAACCAGGCTGTGAAGTACCCAGGAATTTTCTCGGCCAATATCCAGCCTTAGATCTCCTGATCAGTTAGGCAGCGCCTTACTGAATGAACACCTAGGTGACAAAGTTTACAGAACTGGAACAAATTCGACCGTTTTGTTTATCTAAATATCTGTTTCAGAAATAATCCAGCAATCAACCATATGACTGTTAAGTTGTCCCTTTTGGTTGTGATGCTTCCCAATACCAGTGTCCATTTTTATCTTAATTTGTATCTGATTTAAGACAAGTTTGTTTTGTGTTTTTAAAGAGTGCTAGAACAATCACAAGATGTCATGTTCGGCTAGAAGGTAAACAGATAGTGATGTTTGAAAATTTGTTTGTTGCATTTCCAACACACAAGTGTCAGACGTCTTTACAGCATCTTGAAATTCAAGCAAGACACGACGCGACTTGTTTGGTTCGAGTTTTTCAAGTCGGTGTTTATGGTCATTGCGTACTTTATGTACGAGCACGTTGACAAAACCGGTCATAAACAAAGCCGAACAAACAAGTCGTGACTTTTAAAATTTTTGCTAATTTATTTCAGAAAGCTGTTACGGCCAGTTAACAGTCAGTTTAGCGGTATAAAAGTTTGCGTTGTCTGCAGTTAACCTTGTCTCCTCAACCAGTGACCCCCATCGTTCTCGTCAGTGAGATAATGTATTCATGGGATTAGGGTTTTATAAAGAATACATGTATTATTAGAGCGTTATGCAACATATCCCTGAATGACTGTCTGCGCTGTACGACGTGGTTTCACCTTGTTAGTGATGTAGGAAGGGGGGCTTGACAATGACAGCTGTCTAGTCGTTCGGGCAGGGTAAAAAAACGAGGTCCGGTGTATACATTGGCGTGCACGTAAAAGATCCCCTAGCAGTTGGAATTCGACATAAGAGTAGGCCATTGTGTCGCTGCCCAGGCAAAATTTCCTCCACAGCACACTGTATGGTGTTTGCTCGTCCTATTTAGCCCAGTCGGAGCAAAACAATAGGACGTTAAACCCCATTTCATTTACTGCCTGTGCTGCTATTGCTTTGAACACTCTTTTTACATTGCAAACGATGTATGGTTTTCTGAACGTACGACGTGGCCGGAATCATTCCTTGGGCTGTAGATTTGTTTGGGGTGGGAGTATTCGACTAGAATGTCGTTATTAGTGTGGTGTTACGTTGAGCTCTTACTGCATTATTTGCAGTAACAAGTACCCATTGATGCTACCCGTTTTTTAAAATTGAAAGACCATAACCCACTGCCCAAATTCTATAATCACCCCAAAGTATTAAGAACATATTGCTGACGTAATTCCTTTAAATCAGGAGATGTGTTCATTAAGAATTTCTCAAATAGCCAGTGAATGAAAATAACATCACAATATTTGCATAGCTAAATGTTTGTTGTGGATGTCTCGAGTGCCTCTCTTAACGTTGGTCATACAGCCACAAATCAATGTCTGTATATAGAATAGGTTTAATAATTAATCATACAATAATATACTATTAATAAAGCAAAAATCTTGTCCGTGCTCAACAGTCTATATATAGTGCTATATGTAACTATTTCAACATTAGGGTGGAGTCATTATTAACTGTATCGACAACCTTCATACATGTCATGTATACATGTAAGGCTTAAGAGAAATTATCGTCAATTTGCAGGAATATGGGTGCCTGGTACTAATTAAACTGTCTACATTAAATTTCGTATCTTTTTTATCAAATTAGCATTTCCATTTCCAAAGTAGAGAATGATCAACAAGACTGCCATTTTGATCAGAATTATAACCCGGGGACATAGCTATTAGCAATAACCCAACCCATCCAAAGATACATATACCTCTTGTGCATATTGATCGTTGCCTCCCAGATGTGGACAATTGAGCTTTAAGAATCAGTTTCTATCCAATGACGGGTCTAAGTCCAATTTCCCTTCCAATTGCTGTTGACCTTTACTTTACAGCATGTAGACGTAAATCTATATGGGTGTGTCTCAAAAACATAGAAAAAATCTGTATTAGCAGACTGGATTTGTTGTACAGTTCATATGTACATCCAAACAAGTTACATTTGCAACAATTCACTTCCCATTAATCTTAAGTGGTCTCCATCCATCTACTCATAAAACAAGAAGAGAACCATGAGGCTATTTTTAGACTTTACTTTAATGGCAGAAAAATAAAACTCTTACATCTTTTATAATTGAGTTTCAGCAAATATAATATTAGTACAGACCAATATTTTTGGTCTTTAAAATAAAAATATCTTTAATTTGTTCACGTTATATTGGTAATCTTAAACGTCTACAATATACATTCAAATAGTAAATAATAATATTAAAATAGAAAATTCTAAACTATTAATGTGCAACATATTTAGGTTTTGTTCACTTTGAGAATCCATTTATACAAATGTTCAAAAGCTTAAACAAATTTCTCATCACATAACACATATGCCCAGCTTGGACAAATACACCATATAGAATAAAATAAAGTCTATAGATTTTTTTTTCTTATTTTATAATCTATAAAATATGTCTTGCAGGATAAAATATAATTTAAAAAGAATCTCACGTTGCGAACATTCTTCAGAACATAAATCAACCGAACACAGTCATTCTGACATATATAAGACTTTTGTATAACAAATGCATATATATATTGAACCATATATATGATAAATTATCTGGAATGATGTCCTTATATACTTTATTCTTCGTTTAAATCGTTTTTTTTAATAATTTCATTTGTCTAATTATGCTCAATACATAACAAGAGAATTAAAATAAATAGTTTCCTATGCCCATATATACACTTTGTATTGGAAGTATCAGTCAATCATTGATATTAAGTTCATGTGGTTTATATTATAATTTGGGGGATGACCTTTGACCTGATCTTGTTAAGAGGTAAATATTATGAAGATGATGAAACAATGATCTATTATTTTTCTTTATGGTAAAAATAGTTAACTATATGTGGATGTATTAAGTCATGAAGGTTGTGGGGTCCTTTTGACAATATCAGGGCTGCCTTAAGTCATTAATATGCATAGTTGAACAATTACTGATCAATTAGAGTATACATGGATATAAGAAAACTGCAATAACAAACATTTCATCAACTGCAACAAAGCACTAAAAATATCAGAATCCAGTGGTATAATGCCATCATTCCAGAGTCTAGTAATAATATAATATTTAGTTAATTGTTTGATAGTTTCTCACATAGAGAATGGGACACCGAACACATAGGGTGTTACATCTTAACACCACACAATATATTAATATATATTACATTTAATAATAACATACACAAATCATATAGAATAAAATACTCTCAATATTAATATAATACTTTAGGATATATACATTTTTATATTTATATATCTATATATATCCATTCAATTTGCACGTTCAATATTAATAGAGATATCTTTGATACTTTTTTGTTTCAACATCGATAAATGGGTATGTAAAATCACCATACCACTGCCAAAAATAGCAACCTCTACTTTCCTACATTCTAGTAGTGATCATAAAAAGGATTTGGAATTATTTTGGCACTAAAAATAGGAAGTCTTGCTGACTTCATTATAAGCTGTGTTGTAATCATTTCAGTTTGTGCCAGTAAGAATCCAGTAGAAGGGGATGGTTACAGGCACAAAGCTGAACAGCCAAAGTGAAAGTAGGTAGCCCCACATTAAGGCAGTGTCAGGTAGAAATGATAGGTAATCTCATGTTTTTGTCATGATGTAGATGATATAAAGATCACGAGAAGATGCGAATGGCCTGAGATGGAGGCTGCTGACATACTGGACAAGATCTTTCAGCCAGAGGTTTACCTACTATTGTTGAGGCACACTCCATACAGAACAGATTGTGACCACATGGTACCAGGGCTGCAACCACTTCATTTTCTGAGCAAATAAGACAATGTCTGCGTGGACGCACTACACCGTTTGCATCCAGTATGGGGCTGGTGGAGGAAGGGCGTTCAAGGTTGGAGGTAGAACCAAAGTTGGTAGGCAAACCTGTGATGCATGTACCATTGGTGATACCATTTGTTAATCCATTGCTAAGTGGGTCACTGCGGATTCTTCGTACGGTGGGATGATCCCCAGGAACTGGAGAGATATTGCTGGGTGAGCCGCTGCCCTGACTTTGTGTGCCGCTTTCTGGTAAAGATGGAGATGTTCTTGTGGTGGGTACTCCTCCAATAAACCAACAATTATTACGGGAACTGCTATCAGCTGGTGAACAGTTACCATTCATTAAAGAGACTAGCGAGTTAAAATTGTCACCTAAATCAGTCCATGGATAGGTAGGGGGAACAAACGGGTCATAGGAAGGGGAGCTGATTCCCTCATCGTTGTCATACGTACTGAAGCCATTTACTCCATTTACCAAATCACCAGTTCGCAATGCTATGTGACTCTCGATTTCATGTCGGGCTTTTTCAACATTTTCAGGTAGTCCTGTTACTTCGAAAACTGGTTCCTTATCCCTACTGGGTGTTACAATATAGGTATGTGTTTGTTGCTGAATGCGTTTGATTGTAGCACCTTTCGGACCAACCACTAATCCGACAACACGATACGGAACACGCACCTGGATTGTGATTTGACCCGGAGCATTGGGACTTGGAGGACCAGGGGTTAAGTTAGATCCATTACTAGAAACACTAGACACACTACTATTTCTCCGAGACGCTCGGATTTGGCTAAAATGTTCTGCTGCTGATATTATTTCCCGTTTCGCGAGACCGACATCTTCTTTTCTTCCTGTAACCACGAACACAGGTTCCTCTCCTCGTACTGGGGTTTTGATGTAAGTGTTGGTTTTGGCTCGTAGAGCTTTGATTTTACAGCCTGAAAAATAGATGAAAATCTCATAAATCAAAATGAACAACATATGAAATGAAGTTTGACACGACAGTGATATGTATATACTAAAGCTAAGCCTAAGGCTAAACTATTTTATTCAATTAATAATTTATTCACAATTGTACCCATTCGGGCAGAAGGATGGCAAGTCCATATACATGTACTTGATTGAATTCAGTTAGCAGTGACCGATCGAGATTAGAGAAATCTAGGTGCATACAGATAACGGCAATAAAGGCATCTGGCTGGATATTAGATGTAGACATGTACATCACAACATGTAAAGTTTATTACAGCTGTTTAGCGATCAGTTGAGACAGATGAGCTTAACACATGACCAAACATGTATATAGACCTACACCCTCGGGTAAAAATATATAGGTTAGACACCGATAAAAAACATCTTTCATTATAGCCCTGCTGTAACCTGTTCTTATAGTATGTGAGCAAGTCTTATAAGATGAAAAATCTATGTATTAACACATTGTTATATTTTAGGAATGTGACAATGTAAGAATGTAGGTATTGTTATCACAACAAACTGTCTCCTGTGTATTACAGAAAGATGTTCATTCAGGCATACTTAATAGATTTCACAATATACAATACACTATTACATTTTTGAACTTAGTATTGGTCTTGTTGTGATGGAAAAACTGTGTTAGTCACATTTATATAATTAATTACCGTGGGTCAAAATGAGTAGAATCTTGTTATGTCAACAAATATCATTATTCTAGTCACTTTATTATTTTTTTTGATGTGTTGTGATTTTAATTAACACCAGAGAGAATAATAAATGTGTTTACCATATAAATTACAGTTGATAATATTATGGCATTTTTATATATTAACCAATTCTAAAAACAGAGTGTATTTGATCTATTATGACATTACCCTGTATTTAATAAGTCCTTGAAATGTTACAACTCTACCCTAGTTGGTCAGTGATCGAAATATTATATAATTCTACCCTAGTTACCAGTTGTGTATACATTTTGTACATAAATGTGAAATTTCTCTACCCTAGTGGATCAGATGTGTATACATTTTGTACATGAATATGAAGCACCTCCACCCTAGTAGACCTGTTGTGTATATGAAATGTGTATATACCTTTAAATGTATTGAACAACTTTTGTATATACATATGAAACAACATTATCCTAGATGAGCATATATTAAACCACTTTACTTTACCCAAGTCAATTAACTTGTGAAAATCAAATACATTTTTCTACATGTTATTACCCAATATGCTTTTACCATTGTTAAATATGTATGAATATCTGATGCTTTTACCCTTCTTGATTAAATGAATACATGTTATCATTGTGATGACAAGCTAAGTAAATGGAAATACATCTATAAGTAATTTGTGTTGTTGCCAAAGTGTTTCCAGGGTTATCCTGCCAGAGAATATTCAGGTATCTATTGGTTAACTCAAGCCATATGGGAATTACATGTACATTCTTTTCTCATTTTCTATTATGAGTCCCTGAACAATTGATATGAATTAGTAGATTATTTTCAATTATATATATTATTGCATGTTGTCCTACAGGTTTGGATACTGTTATGATAGAACATGTTATCGATATGGTTCATATAGCAAAGCATTATTTTTTAAACTGAACAACAAGGGTATAGTCAAACTAAAGTGACTTACATTAATAAACAGAACCCATAGCTATTACTATGACAGGATTTTCAAGATTTTTTTCAGCAATAATGGTTCTTTCTTTCCTATTTTGATTCATGAAGGTGACCTCAAAGCAACCAGGTCATCCTGTCATTTTCATTTTGGAAACTAAGATAAAGTATGACATCACTTCATTAATAGCTTGGAGAACTGGAGAAAACATGGGCAACCTTTTTGTTGAGTACAATTATTTGCTTTTATGACCCCCATATGATCTATTCAACTGTGCAATATTTTGGACCATTTACTGGTCATCCCAACCTTTAATAATAGAACAATTTTAAGCCTGTCAAAGCCAATAGTTAGAAGATGATTTATAAAACATTAACTTAGTCATACATTATCATAATTCATAGTGTTTATATTCTATCATATTTTGATGCCATCTTGTAATTATCCTACATTGCAACATCTGTTCATTCAGAATAATCAACATCGCCATTCCATATCTAATGTCATTAGTACAGAACTGTGAATAGCCCACAACTAACTTGAATATTAACCTTCCAAGTGTACAAAATAGTTCCTTGTAATACATGTCTATAAAAGAACGTGTAATCGAATTGAACATTACTATTATATAATTCTATTGTCTCCAGTTAGCCAGACATGTTCATGTAGTTTGACTAGGTCAGATTAGTTTATGTGTGATGGTAGGGGGTTATCCATTAATACCTTGGACAAAGCCTACATGTATTTGTATCCGCAACCCTGGGTGCGTCCCCTCTAAGACACTGAGAACCTAGTACAATGCCACTTAATACACATACTTTATCATTTTATGAAGTATACTTGATAGATAGAAAATAGACATAGTATGTATTTTAATGTACATGTAGACAAAGTACTTAGATCAAAATGTCAAACAATCTACACATAGTAATTATCTTTGTGAGTCAAGTTGACAGGATACTCTTAAATACAAGTTCATCCTCTAGGGTCAGTGTGAAAAGGGGAAAGGTCATGTATACATTCCTTCATTAGTAATTTATATTCATAGCCTTTTTTTGTGTTTCACATGGCTTGGGAAGAAAGTTGAGAGAGATAATTAGAAAGACATTTAATGACAAATCGGCTACATGTAAATCCTGGGATTTATCTCTTGAAAAACAAAACAATCTATTCAACATGGCAGTTCATGGACATGCAGCATACATGGATCCATCTTGTAAACTTGATAATATTGTCTGTCAGTGATGGAACATGGAACTCTGTGTAATAATCAATGATATTACTAATCTCGACCAGACTAATGCCATCACCAATAGAAATCCACATAGATCAATGAGTAATAAACCATAGCTCTAGGCAATTTTCAAGAAGAGCATTATACACTCTGTGATCAGGCCAAATTCCATAAAGAATTCAAGAATCTTATATTTTGTTTACTTCGATTCAAAACTTTGCAATAAATCACAAGTGCTTTAATATGCAACATGTGCATTGCACTTTGGAATATATATTATTTAACCTGGCTACCATCCCTGGATATTCTGATCTAAGATCTACTAAAGATATAGTATAACTTTAGAACCATCTAAACGATTCAAACCTGTTTTTAATACAGTCAGTATGTAGGTCTGAATGTAGCAAATTAGATTCCACGAGTACTACTTTCCCAGGCAAGTTGAAGTTATTTTATCTAACCTTTGATACAGACAAAAACCTTGAGCTGGAATAGAGGGGTGGGATATCTTAACACCTACCATCTGTTTTTATGAATCTGGAGTGGTGCCAGCACAAGTAGAGAAGACTAAGAGATAATTTTGAGTAAAGGACTGGTGAGGAAATATAGTCATTAACCTAAAAACTAGCAGTCTTAAAAACAGATTTAGAGGAAGGGTAGATGGGGATGTCATGTGGTGATCTAGTATTACCTTTCACCATCAGTCACTACTATAATATATAATTTCATTCTTGTAGTATTACACATAATAATGAATGAACATTTTCAAAATCTACGCACAAGTTACACTTGATATTTCAGGTTTATAGGCCGCCAAGGTTTTGGCATTTATGCACAAGACGTCTGTTCTCAGTACATCTGTTTTTTTGTACTGAATTCCCAGTACATGCAGATGCTTGACTAAATTGTTCATCACAAATGTTACAAAGTCCAGAAAAAAAACACCTATCATTTATTTACATACCAGGTTGAAGCCATTAATATGGCTGTTGGACAGGTTGAACCCTCAACAAACCTTGTTGATCAGCTACACCTGGTCATAGGAGCTGGTCTAAACACTGTGATAATATCTACTTCAACCTATGTCAACTAAACTTTCTATTGCCTAACATGTTACTATTACCATAGATTTTATGTATGTGTAAGGAGAGAGATAAAACAGTGGGATTTAACATTTACGCACGATAAGGCGATGAGAGGAGGGGCATTTTGGTGTATCGATAATAATGCACAATCGTTTCCTATACAGTTTATTATTCACGTACATTATTATAACCTACTGTATGCACATAAGCATTCGGGGGAAGAGCGGGGAACAAGTAGAAAACACACATAGCATGACCCCATGAGATCTTAACCATGATGCAGTCACAGATGACATGTACATGCTGTGGAGTGCTACACTTTAGACTTTAAACCATTTATTACAAACTTGAAACTTCAAAGAGATCGTGTGTAATGTAACAGACCAATACTAATTCGTAATAATAATTCCAATAAGCGTATATGTTACAGACACTGTATAAAACCAACAGGTTGTTCAACATGAAATCAATACTAACATATTACTCATACCTACAAATATTTAATATAAACGAGATTTCTCTAGACACAATCATTTTTATAATTAGGTTACCATGTTTTATTCGTGTTAATGTGTTAATTACAATATACATGTAATGTCAATCAATAATTTATACCTCAATCCAATTAATATGGCACATTATGAAATATGGAAGACAATCTAATTAGTCATATAGAGATTTGTGTTTCGACAAAGTCCATGACAATACTCAGCATTGAATCAGATTTCTTCCTCCACAGAAATGGCATAGAAAACTGAATACCCATAAAGAATTAACATTAATTCTTTATGGGGAAACTGTATAGTCTTCGCCGTCTACGAAGGCAGCTCTGTGTTCATAAACCGGTATCTTATTGAAACTGGTCAGTATAAAAATGACGACCATTGCATGAGATTCTTGTACATGACTTTGATAAAAGCATAAATTTCAAATTCAATAGAATAGACCAATTTCTCGAGACAATCCAATTTCTCAAGACAATTCAATTGAAGTGAATCGAGTAGTTGATTGAGTATTGTATGCATTGCATGTAAAACTCTGATTAATCTTATCTTGGTAATAATGCATGATGGAAACTCTCACTCTGTTGGACATTATTTGGGTTTAATACAACAAGCCTGCACACAATCATACAAGTCTTTATACCACTCACAGAAAATAGTACTACTTGAACAGTATCAGGTTTTGTTTTAAACATATTTTATTGATAAATCAAAAGGATAAGGCCCCAGTTTCAAAAACTTAGAGAGTAGCCCATTTCATAAGAGTATCAGAGAGCCGCTTTACAACGCAAAACTTCAATTTGAGAGATGCCGACATGTACATGTACCTAAGCTAATTAACCGAATTCAACACGAGTTTGTCCCCACCCCCCCCTCTTAATTTGTAGGGAATAGTAATTTATCATATTGCAAAGTAAATGTAACCTGATCAGAACCTAAACTCTTCCCATACAATAGGTGTTATATTGCAATGGTATCGGAACCTAAATTCACTCCATAAAATAGAATGACGCACATGTATTACAAGTTACTAGAACCTACATGTTAAAATCACACAAAATACAATAACTAATATATGTTTTATCACATTACAATGTTATTAGAACCTAAATGCACCCTGTATAACTTGCCCTCAGATTACAAATGCTCCCCCATACAATAATAGTTATCACTGGTACCCACTCATTACATAAAGCTAATCAACAGAATATAATCTTACTGATAAATTATATGTGTTAACCTCTCCCAGAATTAAATGGGTCTTAACTTCCGCTATATCATAATTACAAAATAACATAGTGAACTAATTAACATAGTTATTATTAATGAGGAGTTTAGTATAATATGAGTCAAGTCCTCATATTACACATGATTCTGTTTAAAGAGAGGACCAACCGAGTCCTGATAAACCATGATAAAATCTTCCAACAAAAATTTATGATTTAGAACAGTAGATAACGAAAAGATCAACAAGTCAAGAGTAATTTTTTAAAAAGGGTTTAAGTATTAGTAATAAACTACAGCTGCTTTCCAGCAAAAATAGTTTCAAAAAGAATTTTGCTAGAATCAAGTATTATTTTCTTTCAATTATTATCACAATATAATGCAGATGCTAACATGTACTGTGCGAAAACATGTACTTACAGTGTAGGCAAACTTTCCAAGTAAATGAGCAGTTTTTTCAGATGTTCGACAAAGAGTAAGCATACTCTTTCTTGTGCACAACAGCTGAGATACTTACAATTACTAGAAGCAATGGTTTACACATGGGATTTCAGGAAATGGAAACTACATGTGTTAAGAAAAGAAGCATACTTAAAGGCAATGTAATCATTATCAGCAAAGCTATCATTGGGAATTTCCCAAATTAACGAGTGGTTTATCAAATTCAGTAGTTTGATAATGTCAAGTCTAAGCTAATTCCATTGAAAAAAATCAAAAATCAATGACATTGCATGTATGCGATTGTTATATTAATTTCACGAAGCCACTCAATTGCTCAAATCTTGTCATATGACATTAGAGAAATCTATATCAAATATCGTTTTTGATGGAAACATTAACTTTATTATATTAATATCCACTAGATTATTTAAGGATTACGTTGTATGACAAGGGCGCCACAATGTTGTTGCTCTATAATAGACTTTTCTTTAATTTATTAATGTTTAATATGTAGCGAAGTACATGAAGGACCAATTCACAAGCCATCTATTCAATCAATTCAAAAGACAGATATATATTATTGAGCTTAACAATAAACTACATTCGTATAAAGTGTATACATATTTGATACCGAGTGAATATTAATGCGTAATCCCCCAAACTTCAGGTCTCTATTTTGTGTGTATCTGGTTGATTATGTACAAGAACATATAACAACTATCTGTAAGAAACAAGCTCGTTAACCAGGGCTCGCAACTGATTGTTAGGCTAAGAAAGTTTCTCAGAATTCCCCCCATTGCCTGTGGTGCAGGTTGGAGGGCCTGGCGAGGAACAGTATCTAGTCTTTTGAATGGGTGAAAAACTGAGGCCCAGTGTACATGTTGGCATCCATGTAAAAGAACCCTTGACAGTCTGAATTTGAAATAAGAGTTGGCCATACATGTAACTATGGTGTCGAGTCGAATTTTCCACACAACACATTGCCTGTCTTTATTAGCTTAGTTGGTGCCATCTTTAAATCTTGAAATGCACATTTTTATTCAAGATACACATGGGGCAAGTTAATTAGTATGCACTGTGAAAGCAAATAACATCCAATTAACAAATACTACATAAATTCTCTATAATCTAATTAAGGGTCACTGACTTAAAACATTCTAAGAAATACACACAACACTATGGCTTCTGTTTATGTTATGATTCCTAGGCTAAGAAGTAAGCCTGATAGTCTGTCGTTCTAGAAGAACATAAGAAAACAAGCGTTGGTTTGTTTTAGTTATGATGTTTTCAGCAATTTAACCAAAATAGAAATGAGAGGTAGTGTTATCAGTACATGTATAGCCAAATAACAGTAGTCTGTTAAAGCTTTTACAATATCATGTTACCAGGGATGTATTTCAACTATTTCCCCTCTATCTTGTATTACCTGTTCTCAATGCTGTATGGGAGGTTTACTGACAGCAAATTGCCAAATTTTGATTTTTGAATAGCGAAACAGAATACACTAACATCAAATTGCCAAATTTTGATTTTTGAATAGCGAAATAGAATACACTAACATTAAATTGTCAAATTCTGAATCACAAAGCAAGCTATGGTATAAAATAAATACACATTTCAAAATAACAATAGACAAATAAATACGTCTTGCCGAAACAAATTTTTGGCCTCTTTTCAAAATGTCATAATACTGAAGTTCTTTGTTTTGTCCCAGTAATTATTTTATGCTGTGTTTATCTAACATGATGTGATATTTCGTTTAACCAAAAACTGTTGATATTAAACTAACATTTTATCGTATTAGAAATGTAGAACTCATTTCCGACTTTCACTTAGCTATCAACGATTTTCAGTTCCCGTTTAATTGACCGCAAAAATGATCAAATAGCGACAATGTTGCGTTTTGTTTGAAATAGACGTAATATCCTCCTAAAATTTGAAATTAATGTATTTCCTCTCGTGGATATGACTAACGTGATTGTGGTATTTTCAAGAGCCTCAATATTTACTGGGAATTACGCGTCTGGTTTGGGACCAAAATGGGGAATATCCATTCATTATATTGCATGATTGAAATATATAAATGACTCAGACGAAACAATGTTATGTTTTGTGTCAGCTTCTCTCAGCAACGATTGATATTTTTTAGGAATATAAATCGATAGCTTCGTTAAAAACGAGACTTTTACATCAATAATAGCGACGTAAAAAAAACACAAAGCTTGTAAATAGGAATGATCTGTGCGTCAATTTAGGAAAGTGACTGTATATTGCATAAGCTACTATAAATAAGTAGCGTAACATTTTTCCAAATTTTCGTCGGAAGCTCCTTACCCATTTATGAGCAATATTTTGTGGTTAATACGATAAATTAAAGAATTAATGTACTGCTAGACCTCAAATAGATTAGTCTTTTTCTGAAGTCGATTAACAAGGAACTGAACTGACTCGGTCTAAAAACACATTTAGATAATAGCAATAGAATAAAATACCAAAAGCGAGAAACAGTTCCAAAACAATATCAGACAAAGAAAGAAAATTTGTAACTGCGACGTAAAATCATTGGTGAAGACACGTGCTTACACACGCGCCGTAGAATGGTTTATCGATGCCCGTTCTGCATGAAACCCATGCTTTTTTATGTACTTGGCTCAAATTTCGGCTAAACAGTTATATGCTTACCTTGTCTTCCAACTATTTCTGCTACATGTTCCGAGCTAGGTACAGGCACACATTCAGTAGTATTAGCACTCCTGGCTCTCATGTGTGCCTCTTCGAACGTTGTGGAAGGGAGAGGGGGAGAAGACGATTCATCCTCACCATTAAGTGCAAGCATAGACAGTTCAAAAGCTAGCTGTAACGCGCGCTGATCCTCTAGCGCGCTGCTAGTAGTAGTCATTTCGGAATAAACGCTAGCAGGCATCACAAACGTTGCACGATAGTCAAATACATGAGTACTCGTCCGTTTTCTGTTATATCTTCACACACAACGGTTTTTTTTCTTTGTTCACTTCGACCAGCCTCTGAGTGAGGCTCACAATGCACTAGTCTCTCAATCTTAGCACAATGCACAAAAGCAATATGGCTAGGCTGACGTCATTTTCCCAAAGTTCCGCGCGAGAGTATAAATTTCTACTCCTAACAGCTATTTGATTGGCTGAAGAGCAGCTGTTGGGAGGAGTCGAACTTTGACCCGATCTAGATTATTGTCTAGCAAAACAGTGAGCGTCAATTTTTGCGGGTGGCCAAGTCGAGTTTTTGATGATTTTCGCGCGTGTTTCATTCAGTGACAACATACCAGAGACATCTGCTGGATAAAACTATAAGAAAACGTTTTAAATACTTTCTGACGAATCTTTCATTGTTTGCCAGATGTCGTCTGCAATTCTATATTTGGATTCTTTGTGTAGTTTTGCTTCACGCTTCAGTGACGAACTGGCTGTCAGTTTGTTTATACTTTTTTTATTCTTTTTTTTTTTACCAAATTCCCGCCGAAATACACAAAGAACTATGATTATTTTTGTTTGTACAGTTTAAAAAAAAATCTGGAAATGTATCTAACACGTAAATTTACAGTGTTTGAATACTATATTTTCGTTGAATTACTTAAAACAATGTGTACATATCTTATATCGCTAGTCAATAATCCATGACTTGTCTCTGTCTTAATACTACACTTTGTTTATAGTTGTAACAAGCCAGGCATGTTATTATCAACACTGTAAACTACGACATTCGTATGATATACTCATATGATACACGTTCATATAGGTAAGTGTATATCTATAACGTGGTCTTACATTCTTACTCTACAAATGTAATATTAATGGAACTCTACACAGATCATTTCAACAACAATAATTTATCATGAAAACCAATCTATTAAATACGATTCCCTCCCTTGGAGTCTTCATATCTTTGGAGTAAAACATTCTCGATTTTTTATTCAATATTTGGTTTTCATCGACACCTCTCTCAGTTAAACACTTTATGGATTTATAAAATAGAATTTGCACACAAGAAATAAATAATAATAATAATTATACAAAAAAACCCCAAAACCATCTATGCATTAACCTAAAATTCGATAAATCAAAAAAGAAAAACCCAAACAAAACCCGATATTATGTCATTCATTGACTTATAGTGAACATTCTATTTTGATGTAAATAATAGATACATATTGATTAAACTCTCAAGTACACTTATTGGTTAATAGCAGAATAAACCATTTTACTTGTTTGTATTGATCTATTATGTATATATTTATATATATCAACAGATGTCCTTAATATACATATCAAACTAATGATACATGTATGCTGTGTTTAGTCAACTATATACATACATACATAGACTATACACTTCTACACAGTGTTAGCACGTGTGACTGGGTTGCCGTTAATTAGCACCTCGATCAACTATTTCTTGATCAAAGGATTAATGAATCGGTTGTGTGTGAGAAGAAAACAATAGAACGTCACGACTAACGGTAATTGCGGTTTTTAAAAACTTGTCACAATCTCTTTATCGTTTGTTTTTAACAAATGGACGTGTAAAAATTTGTACCTTTTACGTCTTTAATCCGTTGATCTGGTGTCCGACTATGATCATACAACTGTAAAAGTGTAATAAGTAAATCGATGGATTCTTTTTGATAACAATCTAAACAATCGCCATTATATGAAAGTGTAAATGAAAACATTATGACATGACATCTTACCGAAGAGAATAGCTTTCTAAGATTGAAGATTATTTTCCCTTAATCAATCAACGTTAAGAAAATACTCTACGAAACATAACCCAAATAAATTAATAATTGTTCTTCCATAAGTATGTGATATAGTTCATATTATTCTAAACGAATTCCAATATTGACCCCCCCCCCCCCAACTCTAAAGAAAAAAGGTTGGCGCAGAGAGAAACCGAAAAGAAAAGAAATGTGATTGCACATTAGACAATCAACAGTTATTTAATAAATAATATGGACGTGTATTGTAAGTTATATAAGTGACATGTAAATTGTTGATTTAATTGTGTGTAAAAGATGTAGTTAAAATGCGTTTGACAAGTAGATGATTTTCTTTTAACTCGGACAGATCTTTTTGAAAATGGGGACTATTGACTTTAAACGTGACTGCATTATTAATTTCCATTCATAAAGACTCCATAAACATATTTTATGGAATAATAATAATAATAGTACTAATAATACCATATGTCTATATATAGTCAAGTCTTATTACATCATAGTATTACCAGAGAAATTAGTTGTCTATATATTCATAACTTATGACATATGGACGTTGATAATCATGGTATATTGTTCCTAATTATCGTAGTTACCCAAACGATCTGGGATATTTGGCGATCCATCGAATTAAATACAAGAATCAACTCAAGCGAAAGTGGTCTTAGACATATTTGTTATTTTTTTTTTTATCTCCGCCACAAAGATTACAAATAATGTAACTCTTCTAATTTACCAAATTCCCTATTTACATACGTTCCCCTACCGATAAATAAAAGTTTTCTCAAAGAATTAACTAAAGCGAAAGTAGCTGTGAAGTAATTTTTATCTCGACAACGTATAGTCCTTCGGATGGACGAAATACCGAGGTCTCATGTACACATTGGCGTGCACGTAATAGAACCAATGACTGTTGGAATTTGAAATAAGAGTATGCCCTACTGCCACAATGTCTTGCGCATGCCCATCATTATCAGCCCATTCGGTGCCGAAATGAAATGAAATGAAATTAAATGGGGTTTAACGTCCCACTGTTCTGCTCCTATACTTGGCTAATGAAAACGGGCATACGCCATACAGTGTGCTATGAGGGAAATTTTGCCCGGGCAGCGGCACTATCGCCTACTCTTATATCGAATTCCAACTGCCAAGGGATCTTTTACGTGCATTCCAATGTATACACGGGACCTCGTTTTTTCGTCTCATCCGAAGGACTAGACAGCTGTCCTTGTCAGGCCATTCGGTGCCAAACAATAGGACGTTAAGCCCCATTTTATTTCACATGTTGATCTCTCCGCCATTGCAAATATAGTAATTCTTATTATTTATCAAATTCTCTATTTACATTTGTTCACCACCCGATTTATAGGCCCTAATATTTATAGTCACAGACATGGAGAGAGAGGGGGGGGGGGTAACGTCCACTCGACATAAACCAGGTTTAATTTTATTATTTTAATAATTCGCTTGCGCGTAGGGATATTTAACAGTGAGAGGAAACCGGAGGACCCGAACAAAAACCACGAGGTTAGACAGGCAACACTACTCCTTGTCACGTACAACCGGGCAATCGAAAAGGCGCAGGTTGACTCAATGACAGACCTTATGATACAACACGCTCGCGCTAACCATTCGGCCATCCAATCCCCTGCCAGAGACATGGATTGAATTGTGTTTGTGATCCGTGTGGTGCGGGTAGTATTCTGATTTGAGACAACGGATTGGAAGATAGTACGTACGATCATTAGCATGTTGATCAATGTATCTGGTCTTATGAATGATTAAAATATCCATATTCGGAGTCTATACTCCGCTGGATATTGAACTTATTCCGCTTTTCACATCTTTGCATAAAGATTTGAGAGAAACGGTATAACAAATAATTCTGCAGGGGCGGATCCAAGGGGGGGGGGGCAAACCCCACCCTGCTCAGTTACATAAAATAAAATGAATACCTTGCATCAATGACATTAAATCACAATGTGATCCTACATCATTACAGAAATGATTTCTCTCTTTAAAAAGCTCAATTTGTATGTATGCCTATGTAATTTAGAGACGATGATCACAGATTTTCTTAACAGGAACCTGGCAAACCCCCTGCTGCAAAAATTCCTGGATCCGCCCCTGTTCTGTAGCATCACCCCCGTCCCTATAACCAAAAATAAATTCGTGCTATTGATAACGTCACCCTAAAAAACATGTTAGCTATTCTTTTCATAAAATAACCCGTAAATGCACACTTATGGCACATGCTCTATGATTGTTTACGTGCAAAAGCTGGTGTTAGATTGAACTATGTGAAGCTGCTGTGAAAATACTATAATATTACCCTTATCGATCAGCTCAAATGTAAAAAAAAGTTTGATGAAATATACAAAACTTGTCATTAAAAATAAGAAACGTGTAAATGGCTAACAAAAGTTTTGTGGTGATGTGGAAATCTGTCAGAACCCCTCGAAGAGTTTTATGGATGTGGTTTTTCACATGGACCATGTCATTAAACAGGACTTACCATGTTAATAAGTCATGACAGTTATATTGCTACCCTAAACTCAATTAAATAACGTAGATATTGTATAGGCTATACTGATATGTTAATTTATACTGTGATAATTTCTGTTTAAGTAATAAGGAAATAGACATGTGTCGGCCACATGTGGTACAAGTGTTTACACCCACTCTGACATCTACTGACCATCACTGACCAGGTCATTTATGCCATGAGTGAAAGTATACATGTATATAATAAGAAACTGACCAACGTTAAGATCTATAGTGCCTATTACATATCCTATACATACATGTAAACAATATAAAAAAATAGGCCATAATAATTATGGTAACAAAAAAGTCTAGGTTCAGCAAACTTCACCAGCCAGGAATACGGGAAATGACCCCAAACTCCCCGTTATATAAATTATTCCCGTCCACATTAAAAGCCAATTGCATTATAGAAATCTTTAACGAATGCTCAGCGAAATAAACTGTTTTTAGACCGGGAAATGGTGCCCCAAGCGCTACTCGTTCTTGGGGAGGTGGGGGACGCTTTTCGAAAAAAGTCAATTCAAGTACAATCAACATGCTACTTGGGATGCTTGTTCCTTGGACAATTGCGATTGAATTGTCGATGACGCCAAATTCATTTCCTGGTCTACAGTACCCTCGTATTTCCTCGATTAATGGGCTAGTCTAGGGTTATTTTAGATACTACGGTATTACTTTATTCAAAATTATTACTTTTTTTTAGGGTTAACGCTTCTTTAAAAAATACCCTTAAGCCATGTTTATAACACAAGAATCCATATGAATATTGTGATATATTTGAC